CACCAAGGTTGTGGGTTCCATCTGGGTCAGGGCACGTACAAGAGTCAACCAATGACTGAGTGGGACAGCCAGTCGATGCCTCTCTCTCTCTCTCTCTCTCTCTCTCTCTCTCTCTCAAATCAATCCATAAATTTTGTTCTAATTTTTTTTTAAGAGAAGGGTGTTCTCCCCTATCAGGTCAGGGCCAAGCCCCTGGGGAAGGGAGGGGTCGCAGTTTTGGGAAACACAGCATCAGCCAGAGCCTCACAGACCAGACCCCATGGGCCCTAAACGTCTACAAACCAGAGGAGAGCATGGAGCCCGCATCTCCCATGAAATACACAGCCTGGTCGGTGCTCAGTGGTTAGAGCATCAGCCTGTGGACGGGAGGGTCACAGGTTCGATTCCCGGTCAAGGGCACATACCTGGGTCGCAAGTTCAACCCCCGCCCCTGTTGGGCTGCATGTGGGAGGCAACCGGTTCATGTCTCTCTCTCTTTCTCTCCCTCTCTCTTCCTCCCTTCCACTCTCTAAAAATCAATGGAAAAAAATATCCTCAAAATATCCTCCGGTGAGGATTAAAAAATAATAAAAATAAAAGCAATACTCAAGACACCCGGTTCTGAGTGTCACCCCAACACTGGCAGCAGCGGCTGTTCCTGCCGGACCCCAGCGTGCGGGAAGTACCAGGCACACAGTAGGTGCTTAGCAGCCGCGTACTGGACAAAACCGCAAACACCGAGTCAGGGAGGTCTGAGCCTGCACCTGCAGGAACCAGCAGGAGAGGCAGCCGCCTCCCTCAGAAGGACCGGCTCCTGGATGTTTCCCCGAGGGAAGCAGAGGGAGGACCCGAGAGGCTGCGGGGAGGAGGGAGAGGGAGGAGCGGGGTGGCGGCCACAGCGCAGGAGGGGGCGCCGGGCTGTAACTGGGACCCACTTCACCTGCCGCCTCATCCCTCTCAGTGAGCAGTAAGCCTCTTCGAGAGGCCGCATCCCGTGGCGGCTCTGAGAGCAATGAATGTTCTTCTTAAAAATGTGGGAGATTGAACCTCAGTGCTCCAGGCCTCTTGAAATCAATGCCATTGTCCCTGCTCCAATCGGAGCCGCCGGGCGCGCCGGGCAAGGCGGACATGTTGTCAAGAGGGAGACACAGAAAGTAGCCTCTTGG